CGTGATGCCTTCACCCACCGCAGCAGCGCAGCAAGCTCCTCAGCAGTCCACGTAGCCTTCCTCCTGCAGCCAGCAGCAGCAGCAGCAGCAGCAGCAGCAGGTGCAGCAGCAGCAGCAGGTGCAGCAGCAGGTGCAGCAGCAGCAGCAGCAGCAGCAGGTAGAGGAATGCGGGCGGCGATGCCTTCAACTGCTGCAGCAAGAAGCGGGTCATCTGGGGATACACCCAAATGGCTTAACGCCACAACCTGCGCATACACCGCAAGCAGCAGCAGCAGCAGCAGCAGCAACAGCAGCAGCAGGTGCAGCAGCAGCAGAAGCAGTTGCAGCAGCAGAAGCAGTAGCAGCAGCACGGCTTCACAAAGAAGCAGTAGCACCGCCCTCAGCTGTGGCAGCAGCAGCAGCAGCAGCAGCAGCAGAAACAACAACTCAACCAGCAGCAGCAGCAGCAGCATCAGCATAAGCAGCAGCACCAGCAACACAAACATCATCATCATCATCATCATCAGCAGCAGCAGCAGCAGCAGTATGTCTTACGAGTCTGAATATCTGTTGTTTGCTGCTGCTTGCTGCCCAGTGTGCGCTGTGTCTTCTCGCTGCTGCCAGCAGCGCTGCTGCAGCACCGCCGCCCCACAGCCCCAGCTGCTGCGCTGCATGCAGCAGCCGCAGACAAGCATCTGCGGTGAAAGCGGATACACTGCAGCAGCAGCAGCAGCAGCAGCAGCAGCAGCAGGACAAGCAGCAGCAACAGCAGCAGCAACAGCAGCAGCAGCACAAACAGCAGAAGATACAAACATTGTTGCAAATTCATTGCTAGGGGTCATAAACTGCTGCTGCTGCTGCTGCTACTTTCTGCTTCTGCTGCTGCTGCTGCTGCTGCTTCTGCTGCTGCTGCTGCTGTTGCTGCTGCTGCTGACTTGTGTCTGGAGATAAGCCGCAAGTAGCGCTGCAGCAGCACTGCTGCTTCTGCTGCAGTGATGCCGTCTGCTCCCCTCACAGCAGCAAACGCATGCAAAGACAGCGACAGCCAATGCATCCGCTCTGCTGCTGCTGCTGCTGCTGCTGCAGCAAAAGCTGCAGACTCCTGCTGCTGCTGCTGCTGCAGCGCCTGTTGGTCCTCTCCCGATACCTGTTGTTGTTGTTGTTGCTGCTGCTGCTGCAGCAGCTGCTGCTGCTGCTGTCTCCAGTGCTGCTCGTCCCTCACTGCAGCACGAAAAAGCAGAGCTGCTGCTGCTGCTGCTGCTGCGCTCCACGTAGATGGTTGCTGCTGCAGCTGCTGCCGCGGCTGCAGCAGCCGCAGGCCGTTCTGTTGCTGCAGCAGCCTGGTCAGTTGCTGCTGCTGTTTGCTGCGGAGAGACTCAAACAGCAGCAGCAACTCACACAGCTGCTGCGGCTGCAGCAGCTCGAGGTGTACATACACCGCGCGCCGCAGCAGCAGCTCAGTCGTCAGCAGCAGCGGCTTCAGCTGCTGCAGCACAGCAGGAGGAAGCAGCAGCTGCTGCTGCAGCAGCAGCCGCTGCTGCTGCATGCTGAGGGGCCCTATCAACCCAGAATCATAAAGAGAACGAGTTACAGACAGCAGCAAAGATATACGTTCTTGCTGCTGCTGCTGCTGCTGCTGCTGCTGCTGCTCTTGCTGCTGCTGTTGCTGCTGCGGAGACAGCAGCTGAGCAGCATGCAGGGAGACCTCCTGCAGCAGCCGCACCAGACAACGGGATATCCTCCGTCGATGCTCTTTGCTGCTGCTGCTGCTGCTGCTGCTGCTGCTGCTGTATGTGGCTAGCGCGGCTTGCTGCTGCAGCAACCGCTGCTGCTGCTGTTGCTGCTGCTGCTGCTGCTGCAGCAGCTGAGAGAGGCGGTGCATGCAACGCGCAAGGAGATATAGAGGGAGGGACGGCTGCTGCTGCTGCAGCAGTTCTGTGTCTCCTGCTGCTAGTGCATTTATAATTAGCTGTTGCTGCTGGTGGTGCTGCTGCAGCAGCAGCTGCTGCTCTCTCCTCTGTTGCTGCTGCTGCTGCTGCTGCTGCTGCTGCTGCGGGGAAGCTGTCCGCAGCAGTTTGCTGCTTCTTGCTGCTGCTGCTGCAGCAGGAGCGTCGCTCGACAGCAGCAGCAGCAGCAGCAGCTCCGCGGGCGTCCGAGCCATCTCAATAGCTTCCTCAGCAGCAGCAACAAGTGCAGCTTCCTCTTCTGCTGCTTCTCTTGCTGCTGCTGCTGCTGCTGCTGCTGCAGGCGAGCCAGCAGCAGCAGCAGCAGCAGCAGCAGCCGCAGCAACACGCCTCCGGGCTCCCCTCGCTGGCCTTCGCTTCTGCTGTTTCTGCTG